ACAACATAAGGATAACAAGTTCTAAAAAAAATTATAACAAATATATATATCTATGTGCGCGCGCACACACAAAGATGGTTTAAAAATGCAAACAATCCATCTAATGCTTCTAATCCTTCAAGTACAAGAAAAGTACAGCAGCCACCATAGTTTTGTGCATTTGCACAACTTTGCACTCAAAATTCATTCTCACTTTCCTTGACAGTGCCAGATAATATCCTAGTGACTCTGCCAGTACAGTGAAGGTTGCTGCCGTCTGTCATCCTTACATGTGAGGACAAGACAAATGAGGATTTAAATTCTTGCAGGTGTGGTACTCACGTTTTGATAGGAGGAGCAGTGTTGAATGTTGAAAGACAAACATGACAAGAAAAATACCCCAGAATGCAAAAAGTAGAATAAAAGTAAGCAGCATTTCGTGTGGCATATGTTGTTATCTTAAGTATGGCATCTTAAACACTGATGACAAAACATAGGAATCTGCAGGTAAGTTTTGCTTGTGATGTTTACTGAATTTTCAGTTATGACATACCAGATAATCTCACAGTCTGTCAATTAATCATATTAAGGCCACAATCCTATGCACACTTTCCTGGAATGGTTACTTAAAAGAGTGTGGCTGGTTGGTTTTTTTACTTCAAGGAGCACTTAGATTCTTAAACACTTTTAGTAAAACTCAGCTCTAATTTAAATTGACATGTCACTTGGCTAAGGAAGTAATTTAAGATGCTGTTCCAAAATAGTTTCAACCCATCATCTTGGAAGGAGTGGTTCTGTTTTGTGCTTGCTTCTGAGGTATATAAGTATAGCATATATTGAATGTGGTGTAATGATTAAACGGTCAGAAGCATTACTTGATAAATCTGTCAATAAACCAATTAAAGCAGCAACAATGCTGCCAAATTTGATCTCAATTGAAATGAGGTGGAAGTGTGATGTAACATTAAAGCAAAAAAGCAAAGCGTGCTGCTTATATACCACCCCATAGCGCTTCAAGCACTCTCTGGGCAGTTTACAATTTAATTATGCAGGCTACACATTGCCCCCCCCCCCGCGAGCTGGGTACTCATTTTACCGACCTCGGAAGGATAGAAGGCTGAGTCAACCTTGAGCTGGCTACCTGGGATTTGAACCCCAGGTTGTGAGCACAGTTTTAGCTGCAGTACAGCAGTTTAACCACTGCGCCACGAGGCTCTTTATTAGTATTGGTCATGGTCCATTTAGCTGTGTGAATTACATTACAAGTTGGAACTGAGTTATAGTGATCCTGATAGGGCTTTCAAGATAAATGAGGTATTTAAGGAGTGGTTTCACCAATGCTGCCCTGACTGCACCCCGACCTATGAATCTCCAAGGCCGAGCAAGGATTCAAACGAAGGTCTCCTGAATCCTAGTCTGCCGCTTTATCCACTACATCAAACTGGGTATCTTTTACCTACAACCTACAAAAATAATATCTTCTCTTTTCTCTGAAGCTGCCACAAATAGCTTGCTATGTGCCATCAAGTTACAGCTAACTTATAGCAACCCTGATAGAGTTTTCCAGATAGGTGAGATACATAAGGAGTGGTTTTACTAGTGCCACTCAGAGTGAGTTTCCATGGGCATGCAGGGATTGAAATCCAGGTTTCCTGGGTCCTTGTCCATAACTCTGCTCACTGTACCACACTGGCTATCTTCCACAAATTAGCTCAAGTCATTTATTAACAAAAATGTCTGTTCTTATCTGTCTGCCCCCTATTATATAGCAACATCAACAAAAAGTCTTGTGGCACCTTAAATACTAAAAGGTTCTATTTGCTTAAGCTTTTGTATGCCGCAGCCCGCTGTAGCATCCCTACTCTCCCAGTTAGTCCCACGCTCCCACTGTAATTTTTGCCCTGACCAGGCTTAATAATGACAATGTCCTAACTGATATCATGGCCATTTACTGTACAATGACTACAATTGAATCCTAGATGTTACACACTTTCTTCTCATAGGACAATCTTTTCAAATGATTAAAACGAAGCAAAAAAGCAAAGTGTGCTGCTTATATATCACCCCATAGGACTTTCTGGACAGTTTCAATTTAATTATGAGGGCTGCACATTGCCCCCCACCTTACCCCAGTGAGCTGGGTACTCAATTCACCAGCTTCAGAAGAATGGCTGAATTGACCTTGAGCCACCTACCAGAGCCTGTCAGGATCGAACTCAGGTTATGAGCAGAGTCTTGATTGCAGGACTTCAGTTTAACCACTATGCCTGGTCAGGAGCTCCTGGTCCTACTGAAAGGACTATTCTATATACAATTTCCTCATAAAGAACTAAGCACAATGAAAATATCCACATCTCTTATAATTAGATATGGGGGTATTTGTATTCATATACGAATACCCCCGTACAGGTGGACATAATGAGGGTCCAATTCCCCAGGGCCGGATGGTTCTCTCAATGTTCCGCCACTGCCGCGACCTCCGCAGAACCTTCCAGTGGCTCTGGAGATCGCGACTGGCTCGCCACTCCTGGCAGGAGGTAGGATGACAAGCTTCTCTGCTAGGTCAAAGAGTGGCTCGCAGAACACGATCTCTGGAGCCACTGGAAAGCTCCACGGAGGTCGCAGCAGTGATGGAACCGTGAGTGGACCGTCTGGCCCCAGGGGGCTCGACCCTCATTATGTCCACCTGAGCGGGAGTATTCATATTTGTATATGAATACCCTCATCTCTCTTTATAATCCAACAGACTGAACAGGGGGAAAGAACAGAGACCATTCTTCACCTCAAAGAAATATAAGAGAACATTGTTGGTTGTGAAACAAAAAAATTATTACAAAATGACTCACTTAATTTTTTAATCTCATGATTCCTTTCTTCTTTTGGCAATGGCTTATAACTCATCTTCCTGCTGCTTTCCCCATATCTTGAGAGGTAAGATGGATATCTACGCGGGCTCCTTGCCCCTGAAGAGTGGGGTAGCCTCCATCGAACAGGTGGTCTATCCGGTGTTGATAATGGTGATCGGACACGTACTCTCAAAGGTCTGCTTGGCACTTCCTTTTCTTCAAAAAATGTAAAAACACACAAAGACACAAATAAAGTTACTCTTAAGGTACTGAAAGAGAGAAAAAAGCAAAGAAATCATGTTGACATAGAACTTCTGATTCCAGCTGTTAAATGAACATGAGGAGCTTGGTTAGTCAGAGCTAAACTAGACAAGAAAGCATTTGCCAGGTAAAATCATTGATTTGGCTTTAATTTGGCTAAAATTGGATGTTCCTGATGGTTTAACTATTTTTTTAATCCCCACTCTGATGGAGGCTGACCATGCTTCTGAGTTCTTTTGTTTTCCGTACCCAAACAGAAAAGATTGGAGTTTCAAAAGACGATGGAAGGTGGAAATGCAGGGGGATCAGATTGCTTGGCTACCCTTTGTTTAAAGAGTTGGATGATAAATTCAAAAACACTGGCTGGGGAGGGGTTTGAAGCCACTCCCTTCCCCCACAAGCCTCTTGTAAACTTTAGCCATTTACATCAAAGAAGCTTAACCTGGCCCCAACAACAGCCATGAGACTTAAAATAAAAGCATATAATTTTGGAACCACCAACAAGAACTTGATGCATGGCCTGAAGAAGATGAATTATCACTGAAAGCTCACTGTTTGCTTTTTGTTCTATTTCTTTAGCGGTCCAGTAAAGGTATTATCTGGTTTCTGCACTAGACAATATTGTTAGCATATTGTTAGAATCAAGGCTTCTTTAAGTATAGAAAAATATTTCTTTGCCATAGCCTGTGCTTGCACTCAATTATGTTATCTCACATTCCAGCAAGCTTTGTTTTGTGATTGGTCATTGGAATGTAAATTTAGAGTTAATTTGCAAGTCTGATTGCACAGCTTCAAATCTCTGAGGAAATCACACTACGGGAACAAACATGTGCTATCACTCTTGAACTGTGAACTGAGCTTGACCCTTAGTAGCAAGAAAACCATGCTGTGTACACCCTCAGAGACTTTCACATCCCCTCAAAATCTAAAAGAGGTTCTTGGCAAACCTCTGACCTGAATTTAGCTCCAAAGAAGAGCTTTCAGAGGCTTTCTTCTTACTTGATCACATATTATTATATTAAGGATCAACTCAGTAAAATTCTAGGAGTTGTGTTTGATAACTACTTATCTCAGATAATTTGACTTCTATTTGTTTTCATTTCCTGTTTTATCACCCAGGATCTTGCCTTCAGTCATAAACATAAAGTAAACTGAAAACAAGATGTATCATTTGTAGGTGCCTTTATTTTATGTTATTTTTAATCAAGCAAGTCCAATCAAAGCAGGGAGACTACTTAGAACTTGATACAGTCTCTCCCCCCTCCAGCAGGCACTTTCAAAGGAAAGGGTGTAAAACACCCAGACAAAAAACGCACGTTGAGGATTCTAAGCATTGGAGTGTTTCACTTTGAGAGCTCTTATTTGTTTTATTTATTAATTTAAAATATTTATATTCTGCCTTTCTCCAAAAAATGACCCGAGGCAGTTCACATCATTAAAAAGAGACATTAAAAGCTAAAAACAATAAAGTATTACAATATTTAAAAAGTATTAAACAAATATTGTACTGTATTTAAAATGGTGAATAAAACCATTACTAAAATCACATTTAAAAGCAACAAGGCACAATCATCCAATTTCTAAAAAACCTCCTGGCCAGTCAGTTACAAAGGGAAAGCCTGCCTGAAGAGAAAGGTCTTTGTCTTTGGCTCTTGTCCACTGTAAAGCCAGGGATACAACTGTCTATATCTAGTGGATCTCCTTACTTCTGCCAGAATGAGGGAGGGGGGAGAGAGACCCTTCATCCCATCATCCTCCGGGTCTTTCTGAAAGCCTGTTCCAGGGTGAGCCCCTCTTGAGCAACCAATTTAGCATCATGGAAGGCTGCAAAGGACAGGAGATTCTGATTCCAGATACTAGATAGCAGATTACCTTGTTGGATTCAGTGCCACACTAGAATGAACTTTACATACATAGGCATCCTTCAGTCTCGAGAGACTATGGTAACATGCTCTGAATCGAGGAGTAATGACCCGAGGCAGTTCACATCATTAAAAAGAGACATTAAAAGCTAAAAACAATAAAGTATTACAATATTTAAAAAGTATTAAACAAATATTGTACTGTATTTAAAATGGTGAATAAAACCATTACTAAAATCACATTTAAAAGCAACAAGGCACAATCATCCAATTTCTAAAAAACCTCCTGGCCAGTCAGTTACTAAGGGAAAGCCTTCATGAAGAGAAAGGTCTTTGTCTTTGGCTCTTGTCCACTGTAAAGCCAGGGATACAACTGTCTATATCTAGTGGATCTCCTGCCAGAATGGGGGAGGGGGGAGAGAGACCCTTCATCCCATCATCCTCCGGGTCTTTCTGAAAGCCTGTTCCAGGGTGAGCCCCTCTTGAGCAACCAATTTAGCATCATGGAAGGCTGCAAAGGACAGGAGATTCTGATTCCAGATACTGTACTAGATAGCAGATTACATTGTTGGATTCAGTGCCACACTAGAATGAACTTAGAAGAGTTGAATAACATGCTTATCTGAACACCTGGCTACTGTACGTGCTAAACAGACCAGTTTTAGTTCTCTATCATGCCCAAAAGTTACTACTGTATCTAAATATTCTTCAATATGCTTGGTTTCCAGAGCCACAGCTATAGTAGTTTCTTCTCTGTCATGGCCTGTCAGTGATGTTTCTGGCATTGGCTCTTTAACACTTTCATTATGATACTTCAAAAGCATGGAGCATGTGGATATCCTATAGATTCTGTCTCAACATTCCTGCCTGGTCAATATAGTATGTTATATGTCCTTCTTAAGCACAATCATATGCCCAAAAGTTACAACTGTATCTAAATATTCTTCAATATGCTTGGTTTCCAGAGCCACAGCTATAGTAGTTTGAGTGGGTCTTTGAGGCAGGACACCAAAAATTTAAACAGCACAAAAATCCTGTACCATAGGCTTTTTTATTCTTTGTCATGGGTCGTTCTGCATTTCCAAGTCATGTGCCTCTACTGTTTTTCTTAGAACCATGTGGCTGCATACACTCAATCCATGTTTCAGGACTTGAAATACCAAGGTCTTGCCTCTCATGTCCATTGGTTGTTCCTTCCTTCCTTCCTTCCTCCCTCCCTCTTGTCTCCACAGACTTCAGTCAGGCCAGGCTACTGTGGGTGCTCCTATGACATCAAAGTAGCAGGGGGCAGGCAGCAGGCAGCAGAATGGAGAAGAGTGCCAGGGATGCAGCAATGAGTTGAAGAGGATGGATAGTCATTTGCCTGCACAGGCTATGAACTGGGCAGAGAGAGCATCTGGTGAAGGTGAGTGGGTGCTGCAACGACTAGAGACAGAGTGTGTGTGCTCAGCATGTTTCGTGCTGTTTGTCCCAGGAACCAAAATTGCTAGCTACACTTCTTAGTGGTTTTTTTTGGAACAGTAGTTCATTCTTCTTGAGGTAAAGGTCCTTTTTTTTCTGTAATTAAATCTTCTTTGATGTTCCAGAAGTCCTTAATTTCCCCAGCTCTGATTCTTGATTTTGAGCCAACTTCTTTTTATCGCCCTAATAAAGTTCTGCATAGTTTCATCTTCTCTTTTTTCTGGTCCTGTTGCCTCCAGCTCCTCTTCAATATCGGGAAAGTTATCTACTATTATGCTCTGGACCTTCTCCCCTTAGTACAGCACTGTTTTAAGACAGAAACAGTTTGGAATCAAGATGTGTTGCATATGTTTCTTTCCCTGGTTCGTTGGTGGTTTTTCAGATTGAAAGCTGGCTAGTGCCTTGGCTGGAGATAATATATTTACAAATCTTACAGTTCATATATTATATGAATATAATATATATACATATGAACTTAGCTTTCCAGAGGTGAACTTATATATAGGACTTATATATAAATGGTCAGGAATGGGTGAATTCAATTCAATATGAACTTAGCTTTCCAGGAATGGGTGACAGGAATGGGTGAATTCAATTCAGACAATTATCATATCTACTATTGTGGAATATATATATAAGGATCTCAAAGTTTATTCTTGCCATTTCCTGTTTGACCACATCCAGCTTACCAAGGTTCATATATCTTACATTCCAGGTTCCTGTGCAGTATTTTTCTTTGCAGATTCGGACTTTCCTTTCACTTCCAGGCACGTCCGCAGCTGAGTGTCCTTTCGGCTTTGGCCCAACTACTTCATTAGCTCTGGAGCTACTTGTACTTGTGCTCTGCTCTTCCTTAGTAGCATTTTGGATGCCTTCCAACCTGAGGGGCTCATTTTCCAGCGTCATATCTTTTAGCTTTTTATTTCTGTCTGTGGAGTTTTCTTGGCAAAGATACTGGAGTGGCTTGCCAATTCCTGCTCCAGGTGGATCGCGTTTAGTCAGAACTCTCCACTATGACCTGTCTCTCTTGGGTGTCCCTGCACGACATAGCCCATAGCTTCTCTGAATTACTCAAGCCCCTTCACCACGACAGGGCAGCAGTCCATGAAGGGGTAAGCCCAATATAGCATTAAGCAATAGCTAAGATTGCTACTGAATCAGATGAAGAATTTGTTCCAATTGCACAGCTAAGTTAGAAGAGAATGGGTTTGGGGAATGCATGACCTTGTTGTAAGACACTAGTCCCTAAACTCAGATGGGAAACTTCCAGCAGGAAGGTGAGCACACTGGCTTGTATAACCTTCTAGGAGCCACAAGACCCACCACAAAAATCCTACAACTGCCAATGTTCCTAAAGTTTCCATCAAAATGCTACAGCAAACCATGTCAGCTCTCTATGATACAGGAAGGTGCCAAAGTCTCTTCTCAAACTATAGAGCCCTGCAGAGCAGCAGGGCAGCGGGTAAGGGCTCTTGCTTGGGGTTCTGACAGAGGCTACACTGGCTGGAGGGTCCATGTCTCTAGACCCTTTGCCCAGGTTTACATTGTCGGCATCAGCCATTTTTCCTGGGGAGTGCAACAGAGAAAGAAAACCAGTCCTTTTTGCTCCTTTCATGTAATCCTTAT